AAATAAAAGTTAACCTTTTAGTTAACCTTAAAGGCCTTAAAATCTGAAAGAAAATTTGTTTTTATTTGTACTGTCAACCCAAATTGATACCTTGTTCTTTTGATAGTCCAATCTTTTATCTAGACAGTTAGGCCTTTTTTGTTATAATCTGGAAAAAAAATCAGACCTAATAATCCAAAAAGCTATTTGTTTCCATTAAAGTTTGAAACATTTTAAATAGTAAAATCTATTCTTGCGTAGTTGAAATTTTTATTTCTGTGTTTGGTTAGGTGGCTATTTAACACATTTTACCCTCCTCCCTTACTGGAGGGGAGCATCTAACATTCTGTTCACCATCCTTTGGGACCCTCCTCTATTATGAAAATATTCATTGTAATAATAAACTACTACGTGTTGAAAATGATTGGAAAGTAAAATATTCTGCCTTAGAGCACATTCTGTAATAATTGTTAAATTCAGGTTCTTTAGAAAGTATTCATGACACCTAAAAATCTTTATTCTGTGTGGTAGATAGGTAAGAATTAGTGTTTTTAGACTAAATTAGGTATATGTTATATTTTTTAAGTGGACTTTTTAGTTTTTTTTCATTAATTTATTTTTTATTAAATCACAACTGTACATTCATGCATTTATGGGGTACAATGTGCTGATTTTATATATAATTTGGAATGCTTACACCAAACTGGTTAACATAACAAGTGGGCTTCTTTAAAAGAATGATTTTCTTGTCAGAGTTCATATGCTTAGATTCTATGATCATCTTATACCAGTTAGAATATGCAAAGCCTATTTATTTGAATGGTTTTGATAAAAAGTTTTAAGTAAAATCCTGATGACTTATATTTGATTAAACTAACATTTATTTAGAGTTTGATTTTAGTTTAGTTTGATTTGAGTTGCTTAATAGTAACCAAGGAAATTATTCTACATTAAATATATGAGATATGTTTTTTAAACCAGTTTTTTTAAAAAAGCTATTCCAAGTTATTTTAAAATAATTATAAATCTAGTTAAAAATCAGATTCTGAGAAAAATAATTCAGGTGTAATGATTGAGTTCATTTTTGTCGAAAGGTACTTTGTACATTGAAACAGAAATTCCGATGCTAAATTTTCTGTAGAAGTTATATGGGAAGGAATTGCTGGTCAATGAATCTAATACATGCAAAGTATAGAGCACAAAGGTCTTTTAGAAATTGAACAACCACAATCTTAAAACTCCTTCCGATGATTTTGGAAGAGGTTATTGTCTAAATGTGTTAAATGATAGAATTGATCTATTTTAAAAAGTGTTAGACCTGAGTCACTGTCTGAAATGGACCCAAATTGAGGTATTTCAAAGGTGATTTTCCTTATTTGGATTTTGTCTGAGACACTGATCATGCAGGCCCATCCATCAGGCTTTGTTGTGACTTTAGTAGTCTGCTTATTTACTGAAAACTGTATAATATATAGATCCTAGTCTTGTTAGAAGATGGTAATGCTCTATCAATATTTAGTTACATTTTCTATTAATATTAATGATTCTCTTATGAGTGATGCATATTTTACTACTTGCTATAAACTAATTTTATTCATTTATCTAAACTTTATTTGAATTTGGTTATTCCTAATGATAGTGCCCTCAAAGTTAAAATGGTTCTCCAGTTTTTCTCAAACTTTGTAAATCTGGTACTTAAAATGTAAACATTCAAGGGACCTTTTTTATGAGGGTGAATTAACACTATAAGAAAAACACAGCTGGCAAATTGACAGTAGCATTGTTAAACAGTTCATTTCTTCTGTTCTGAGGCACCTAACATTTGGCCTAAAAGGCCATTAAAATTTTAGATTAGATTCTATTTGTATTATGTAGTAAAAAAAGTATTTCCTCTGTATTCTCTCCTTCTGTTAAATTAAATTCTTTGTGGGAAACTCTGTAAACTGCATATGGAGATTTGACTATGATTACCTTAGTTCCCTTTTAAATGCTTTCCTAATTGCATTTTGAAAGATCAGATATATATCACATATATGATTTAATGTAAATTTCTCAGCATTTTTTATGTGTACACATATAATACATACACATATGGGTTCTAGACATGATTTTCAGGTCATGTCACTGCATTCGATGTGATCATTCAATTTGTGTTCCACATCCTTACTAATTATTAATGTGAACTTAGTGAAGATATTTCACCTGATCTGATCATATTTAATATTTGAACATTTCTCCTGCTTCTGAGTTTTAAGTTCTCATACTTATTTCTGTTAACTTTGTCAAAGCTTGGTAAACTTACAAGTGATTATCAACTTCTATCTAGTCTGTTTGCAGGCTGTCTTCAATTGCAGTATACTTAGTTTAAAAAAAAAGTTCCTCCTGAGAGGGATGGGGTTTTTGTTTACTTCAGGCCAGCTGGGTAAATATTCACATTACTTTTAAATTCTTAATTTTGGAGGGGGGTTAAATAATCTATACTTACAAAAAGAGTTGCAAAAATAGCACAATACCCTTTCACTCATTGTCCCAAATGTTAAAATCTTACATAACTGTGGTATGATTATCTAAGCAAAATAAATTAGCATTGGTACAATGCTCTTAGCTAATCTCTAATTCTTTCCTTCTCTTCCTTCCTTTCCTTCCTTTCTTTGTTTTTTGGGGGGATACAGAGTCTTACTCTTTTGCCTTGCCAGAGTGTAGTGATATCATCATAGCTCACTCCTACCTTAAACTCCTGGGCTGAAGTGATTCTCCTGCCTCATCCTCCAGAGTAGCTAGGACTCTTGCAAAGACTGGTCTCAAATTCCTGAGCTCAAGCAATCTTCCTAACTCAGCCTCCAAGAGTGCTAGGATTACAGGCCAGAGCCATTGCACCCAGCTGAATCCTTTGTTATTTGTCCCACTGACTTTTTTTTCTACTTCAGGATCTGATCCAGGATTGCGTAATGTGTTTAGTTGTCATGTCTCTTTAATCTTCTCCAATCTGGAACAATTCCTTAGTCTTTCTTCATCTTTTTTTTTTTTTTTTTTGGCCAGGGCTGGGTTTGAACCTGCCACTTCTGGCATATGGGGCTGGCGCCCTACCCTTTTGAGCCACAGGCGCCGCCCAGTCTTTCTTTATCTTTCATGACCTTAATACTTTTAAAGAATACTAGCTAGTTATCTTGTAAAGTGTCTCTCAACTTGGGTTTGTCTGTTGTTTCCTTGTGACAGAATGCAACTTAGATATTTTGGCAAGAATACCACAGAAGTAATATGCTCTTCTTGGTGTATAATAGTAGGAGGAACGTAATATTGATAAGTCTCATTATTGGTAATGTTAACTTTGATCACTGGGTTAAGGCGGTGCCTACCAGGTTTCTCCATTCTAAAATTACTAGTTCTAGGAAAAATTAGCCAGGTATGGTGGCATGTGCCTATAGTTCCAACTGCTCAGTAAGCTGAGGCAGGAGGATTGTTTGAGCCCAGGAGTTTGAGGTGTCAGTGAACTATTAAAGACACCACTGCACTCTAGCTGGGAGAACAAAAGAAGTCTTTGCCTTTAAATAGATGCATACATACATAACTTTTTCTGTTGTACTTAATACTTAAATATTTGCCTTACGGGGAAAAACTTTGAGACAAAGTTTGTAAGATATACAAATATCCTATTTCTTACATTGTCTCCTATTCTTGATTCTTGATCATTATAGTTTTTATTGTGGTATTTATAATATGGTGAGTTTTTTTTTTT